ACAATCAATGCGTTAAAAACAAACCTATCAAAAAGTAATTTGAAAAATATTTGTCGAAGCCTGAAGTATCTACAGAGGAGATGAAGCTTCTGTTAATATCTTTTTTTGAGATAAGTGTAATTTTTTAGAATTTTTCTATAAATAGAATGTTAATTAATTAATAAATGAAATACTAATAATTAATTGATATTTAATTGGATAATTTACTTTATTTGATAGTAATTTTCTAGCAGATTCAATTAAAAAAGCCAATGCATCTTCTTTCTGCTTATCTGATGGTCTTGAATAAATTCTAAAGGATGATTCACTTTTATGCCTCGTGATTGCTATTGAAGTAATAATTGGCACACTAGCCTGATAAAGAGAGGTAATTGGAGTCATACAACCCGAATAGTTGACTATATCTCAACCTTGAATGTTAATACCAACTGCATTACAGATGCTTTTCATAAAGTTGCCACAAGTTTTAATTCCAAGTTTTGAATCAAGATACCATTCATTTTTAACAATAGCTAGAATTTATAGTTAGTTTTTTTTTATTTATTTATTTATTTTTTTTATTAATTTAAATAAAAAAAATTTCAAATGTACTTTTTGAATGCTTGTTAATTTTTAAATGTAAGTAATCACAAGTAAAATTAGTTGGCCGATGTTCAATATATAATTTTATATCATGAATAAGACCAAGTAAACCTTCAGGATCAGGTGGTACTGGGATAGTTAATGAATCTAAGTTGCCATCAATGCCACCTTGATCATTTTTTTGTGAGAATTTTGTGAATTGTAAACCACCATTTGAAGTAAAAACAAATTGAGATACACACATTTCACCATGCTCACCGCTCTGGGGAGCAAACAACAAACAGCACTACATAAATATATGATACTGCAAACCCTGTGGGTAAGAGATAAATATTGCTTCATGTGCGAATATTGTTTGAATTTCTGTAGTAGTTAATGGATCATGATGCCAGACAACTTTTCCTATTTTCTTAAGTTGCTTCATTTTACTATCTAGCGTCTTCCATAGATCTCTAAACTCTTGTTTACTGGCCAAGTTATATTTATTAATATTTAAAGAATTATCTAAAAGATACATCACAAGACAATTAATAGCATTGCATAATGATGAAGATGCATATTCCTTCCCATCTTTTAATTTTCGTACACTATACACAAACTCGATCATTTCTTGTTCAAGTTGTGGTTTATTTTGAATAGTTTCAATTGAATAATTATAACCAACATTCTCGCACCAATTATTTAATATTTGAACCTAGTTATCAATCGTCTTTCTTGTGTTTTCTGGAACTGTGGAATTTTTTATATGTTGTATCTCTTCACTAGAAGGTTTAAAGCTTCCAGTATTAGTTTTAGATGTTTTTGCTATAAAAAAAAAAAATTAAAAAAATAAGTATTCTAAATTTTTTCTTTTTTCTTATTTATTTGATTTAAAATTCTTACTTTGGATATTTTTTTTTAAAGCGTTACAAGATGAGCGATACAGTAATACTAGATACAAGGTGAACGATACAGTAATACCAGATATAATGATACAAGGTAAGTAATATAGTAATACCAGATATAGCGGTACAAGGTGAGCGATACTAGATATGATGGTACAGAGTAAGTAATAATAAATACAGTGATACAAGATAGGAGTAAAGGTGCAAAATTTTTTTTTTTATATATATCTATTTATAAAGAATACGTCATTAATAAGTTAAATTACTATTAATTTAATTAGCTTTTACTTAAATCTATTAATATTAACTTACCGAAGTTTAATGTCAGTCATATTTCTATAAAATTCTACTAGTTCCACTATTATTAATTCAAAAATTCTCATTAATATCTATGATACGTAATAACTTATAAATCGATACAATTCTTTCTTACCAGGTATTAATATTTTAACATAATTCACAAAGACAGACCTTTCGTTTATATCGATTAAAGAAAAAGAAAAAGAAATCCGTTATTGGATGCTACGCACCAATAACAATCGCATCTAGTAGCGAATTTTTATGTATTCACACCTGGGCCCCTTCGGGGCCTAGGTGCTCACGCATAAAAATTCGCTACCAGATGCTTTTTTTATTTGTCATCTAAAATGATCATCCTGTGATCTTGCGGATCACGGTATTCTCATTTCTTCTGCCAAATAAAGCTGTTATTGGATGCTTCGCATCCAATAACTATATATTATTGATAGTTATCAATATATATTGATAATTCTGTAGTATGCCAATATTTATGTATAGTACAGTACATTCAAGAATAAAACTGGATAGCTGTGTGATATTATCGTGCAAAACCAGAAATGGAAAGTTTAAAAAAAATAAGCTGTTAATTATCAATATGACTGCTAGATGATTACTTAACTCTTCAAAAGATTACTTTTTTGACAATCAAATCAATAAAATATAGTATTTATTTACGCTAATTTTCAGAAATAGTATATCACAATATCCAATTGGTTTTAATTTTTTTTGGACATATATTCAAAAAAAATTGAACCCAATTAGACATTGTGACATGCCATTTCTGCTGATTTTATTATCAATATACAATATATTAGTCAAGTAATTATCTAAATGTACAATACTGGTAATAATGAAAAATAACGATTTCAGTATTTTTTTTATTGAAATTAATAACACTTCCATGTATAGCTATAAGTGATATTAACTCTGATAAATAAAATTTTCTGTCATATAATTGTTGTTTCTACCTTTATAGTAAATAGCTATGAGTATGAATAAATTATTTTAATATCACATCAAGTTGATTTTTTGTTATATATTAACTTTCGGTCCAAATTTTTCAAAATTTTAATTTTTTTTTACAAAAACAATTTACTTTATCATAAACAAAATAATGGTATTTGATTTAAAATAATACTAATAATAATTATTATTATTTAATCAAATATAAAAATATGCAAAAATTACTTAAATCTAATTCAGAACATTTCAGAATGGTCCTCTTTATGAAACTTGGTTGAATCTACAAATTTCAGTATCATTAATATGATTAAATAACACTTTTATATTGTTGACAACTTTAAATATTCATATTAAATCTGTTGCCAATTTTGGTATATTTGTATTTACATGAAGATCGCACCAGGTCATCAATAATATATAAAATGCCTAATACTCAGAGTCGAAAAAGATCCAGAAAAATAATATACAACAAATTTTTTCATATTTAAGAATAATGACTAACTCAATTATTATTCTTTTATTTAAATATATGCTATAAATAGCAAGATTATCTAAACAGTGAACGATCATATCACAGAGTGAAAACTTATTTCTGGATCTTTTTTTTTATCGCACTAAAAAATCAATAATGAATAAATTAACAAATTAAGAATAAATATATAATATATAATTATCTTTTCTAAATAGAAAATTTATTATTCTTGCTTGGATCAATTTAATGCAATTTAACAAATTTATTGATTAATAGGAATTATACAATGGGAGCAAAAAAAGAATCATAGAAAGAAGAAAAAGTGATAATATTTCTTTTTTTTTTTTTGCAATACCAAGCTTTCCTTTTTTTATTTAAATCACTTTAATCATTTAACAATAGATGAGTGTCACTGAACAAGACCACTCAAAAACAGTAAACAAGTTCTCAAGCATCGTAATTCTCAATTACATTTTTCTGTTTCATCATTTTATCACTTAACATCAGATAAGCTTTGTGGAGCAAGTCGCTAAGCAAGATCACTCACAAGTCAGCAAGCAAATCCTCAAGCATTATAATTCTCACTCACATTTTCTTTTTTCTTTTTGAACTGCTTTATTACTTAACATTCATAGAGCAAGTTGTTAAGCAAAGTTACTCAAAATTCAGCAAGCAAGTTCTCAAACATCTCAATTCTCAATCTCACTTCTCTTTTTTCTCTTACAAGTTATGAAAGATCTAGCACTTATTATTATTATTATTATTATTATTTTGAAACTGATTTGCAAATACTGATATTGTATATATTGTCAAAGGCAGATTTGGGTCACCATTCTATACCAAAAACTTAATACACAAAAAGCTTCTCATAAGAAGGCGTAGAAGATTTTGCTCGAGAACTTAGATTCTACTGCCACTAGGATCTACATGTATAGTTAGGTTGACTTTATATTAGTCATAAAAGCTTCACACTTGATACAATTTTATTTTTATTTTTTATTTTTTTTTTTAGTCTTTTACTTCTTGTTTCTATTGTTTTTTATACAACTTGATTATCTATGATGTAGTAATCTAATTATATATAATTATGTGATTCAAGGCCTAATAAAGCTGTTTTGATTCAAAAAGAGCATGTTACATGTTTGTAATGGTGCTTCCAGTTCCCAAATATTTTCCTTCCTTTTTTTTGATTTTAAATCAATTCTTGATGCTATTGTGCTATTATATTAAAATGCAGCTTTAACCTCTATATCAGATCTACCTTCATCTACTCTGTAGATACTTCAGGCTTCGACAAATATTTTTCAAATTACTTTTTGATAGGTTTGTTTTTAACGCATTGATTGT